CCTCCCAAGTAGCTGGGACCACAGGCGCCCGCCACAACGCCCGGCTATTTTTTGGTTGCAGCCGTCATTGTTGTTTGGCGGGTGCGGGCTGGGGATTCGAACCCGCCACCTTAGGTGTACGTGGCTGGCGCCTTAGTCAGTTGAGCTATAGGCGCTGAACCCCTGACCTGTCATTTTTGATATCACTTTATTTTGCCTCTGTTGCTTTTTTTTATTATTCAGTCTTAAAAGCAGAGACTGGGTGTTGGGGAATGGATATTTCAAGGTAATAATCCTTGGGTTGCCAAGAATTAGAAATGCCATTCTCATTATGATTTCTATCACCTTCAGCATTATCTGCTCCCTGGCTTTCTCTCTTTCCTCCTGAAGGGAACATAGAAGACAAGGAAATGACTGGGCCCCAGGTGAAGTGGAAGCTTCCATTGTCTCCCCCCAGAACCCTTCTTTCTTCCTTTAGTGTTCTTTTTGGATGGGTGGGGGGCCCTTCTGCCACTTGGAGGATATGTTCTTCTCAACACAGGCATCTCCCCAACCATCTTTTCCTCCTCCACCCCTTGCTCCTAGGCCTGACACCCTTCTTCCCTATCATATGTCCTTGGTACCCCTGGGTTTTGCCCATTAACCCATGACTTTGCTTGAATTGTTCTTGATGTATCAGGGGCTAAAGGAGATCTTGTGCTGTTGCAGTTGCCTGAGAGCATAGAGGACGTGGCAGTGTACATCTCCCAGGAGGAATGGGGGCATCAGGATCCTAGTAAGAGGGCCCTCTCCAGGGACACGGTGCAGGAGAGTTATGAGAATGTGGACTCATTGGGTAAGGACTTCTTTTCCAGGGATGATGACTGAACCATTTCTGACCAGGGTCCTGCATCATGTACAGACGCCTCAGGAGATCTCCCTTTGTCTAAAGTCCTCTGCATCTACCAAGTGACAGCATTGGCACACTTATAGGCAGGCTTGGACTTGAGCCCTTGCATTTTGAAATGCTTATTCTTCTGTGCTCTCTTATGTTTCCTGTATTTCTAGGTCCTTCTCCCAAGACAAAAATTTCAGGGGCACTGGCATCAACATTCCAGCTGAAGAGTTTACACATTCTATAAAAATTCAGGAAAGGCAGATGGTCTTAGGGAAATTGGAAACAATGTATATATCTAAAACAGTCTAAATCATAAATTACAATGCATTTATGTGTTGCAGAGATTTAATTTTTTTTTTTAGAGGCAGAGTCTCACTTTATTGCTCTTGGTAGAGTGCTGTGGCGTCACAGCTCACAGCAACCTCCAACTCCTAGGCTTAGGAGATTCTCTTGCCTCAGCCTCCCGAGTTACTGAGACCACAGGTGCCTGCCACAATGCCCGGCTTTTTTTTGTTGCAGTTTGGCTGGGGCTGGGTTCGAACTCACCACCCTTGGTATATGGGGCCAGCGCCCTACCCACTGAGCCACAAATGCTGCCCACTGCAGAGATTTAAAATGACGCCTATGAAATATAACAAACTGAGAGCTAGATTTCCCTCACCTTTTCTCTATGTATGAAAATTCTTTCAATAATTTTTTTTTTTTTTTTTGAGACAGAACCTCAAGCTGTTCCCCTGGGTAGAGTGCCATGGCATCACAGCTCATAGCAACCTCCAACTCCTGGGCTCAAGCGAGTCTCCTGCCTCTGCCTCCCACGTAGCTGGGACCACAGGCGCCCACTGCAATGCCCGGCTATTTTTTGGTTGCAGCCATCATTGTTGTTTGGCAGGCCCGGGCTGGGTATGAACCCACCAGCTCAGGTGTACGTGGGTAGCGCCTTAGCCACTTGAGCCACAGGCGCCGAGCCTCAATAAAAATTTGGGGTAGGTCTTAAAAGACAACAGAAAATAAGACTGTGCACATTACAATTATAGCTATATTGAAACATTAGTGGAAAGACACTGTACTTTTTCAGGTTTGTGTAAAGAAAATCAAAGCTATAACTGATTTGTACTAATTCTGCAAAAGAGATTACTGCTGGGTTTTTTTTTTTCCTTCATTGGGACTGTCTTTAGGTTTTTCATACCAGTTTTTAGTTTTTAATTTTTATTTTTTGGGACAGAGTCACTCCATCACCGTGGGTAGAGTGCCATGGTGTCATCATAGGTCACAGCAACATCAAACACTTGGGTTCAAGAGATCCTCCGGACTCAGCCTCCTGAGTAGCTAGGACCACAGGTGTGCACCACCACTTTAAGCTAGTTTTTCTTTTCTTTTCTTTTCTTTTTTTTTTTTTGAGACAGAGTCTCACTTTGTAGTCCCCAGTAGAGTACCATGGTGTCATATCTCACAGCAACTTCAGACTCCTGGGCTCAAGCAATTCTCTTGCCTCAGCCTCCCAAGCAGCTGGGATTACAGGCGCCTACCACAATACCCAGCTGTTTTTAGAGGTGGAGGTTTCCCTCTAGCTCAGGCTGGTCTTAAACTCCTGAGTTCAGGCAATCTCCCTACCTCGGCCTCCCAGAGTGCTGGGATTATAGGCATGAGTCACTGCACCCCACCCTAGTTTTTCTATTTTTAGTAGAGACTGGATCTCCCTCTTGTTCAGGCTGGCCTCAAACTTCTAAGCTCAAGCAGTCTGCCTCTGCCTCTGCAGAGTGCTAGCATTACAGGCACGAGCCTCTGTGCCAGGCCTCCCCCCCAGCCCCACCCAAATAACTGGGACTAGTTGCACACCACTCTGCTGGTTTCCATCTTTCTTTCTTTTTTTTTTGAGACAGAACCTCAACCTGTTGCCCTGGGTAGAGTGCCATGGCATCACAGCTCACAGCAACCTCCAACTCCTGGGCTCAAGCAAGTCTCCTGCCTCCACCTCCCGAGGAGCTGGGACTGCAGGCACCCGCCATAATGCCTGGCTATTTTTTGGTTGTAGCCAACATTGTTGTTTGGTGGGCCCGGGTGGATTCAAACCTGCCAGCTCAGGTGTATGTGGCTGGCGCCATAGCTGCTTGAGCCATAGGTGCTGAGCCCCATCTTACTTTTTTCTTTTCTTTATTTTATTTATTTATTTATTTCTGTAGAGGCAGGGTCCACTTTATGGCCCTCAGTAGAGTGCTGTGGCATCACACAGCTCACATCAACCTCCAACTCCTGGGCTTAGGCAATTCTCTTGCCTCAGCGTCCCGAATAGCTGGGACTATAGGTGCCCGCCACAACACTTGGCTATTTTTTTGTTGCAGTTTGGCTGGGGCCGGGCTTGAACCTGCCACCCTCAGTATATGGGGCCATCGCCCTACCCACTGAGCCACAGGCGCCACCCTCCATCTTACTTTTCAACTGCTTTGATGCCCAAAGTTGAACCTAACTATCAGTGAGTACTAAATAGGAAGAGAAGATCAGATCATAGTTTATTTGAAGAACATTTGTTTGAGTCCATATCTAGTAGTCGTGTTTTTCTTTTTAGCATAGCATGGAAATGGCATTTAAGGGTTTTTTGTTGTTTTTTTTTTTTTGAGACAGTTTTACTATGTCATCCTTGGTAGAGTGCTGTGGCGTCACAGCTCATAGCAACCTCAAACTCTTGGGCTTAAGTGATTCTCTTGCCTCAGCCTCCCAAGTAACTGGGACTATGGGTGTCCACCACAACGCCTGGCTTTTTTTTGTTGTTGTTGTTGTTGTTGTTTAGCAGGCCCGGGCCAGGTTCGAACTCACCAGTCCCGGTTTATGTGGCTGGTGCCCTAAGTGCTAAGCTATGGGTGCTGAGCTGGCACTTAAGGGTTTTAAATCTCATGGTCGTCTTAGAGCCCTAGATCCATTTCTGATTGTCCATCATATTATTTTCTCTTTGCAGTTGCCCATTCGAATTTAGTTTTATATTTATATGTAAGAGTCAGGTTCATTTATTATTTATTATTTTTTGAGACAGAGCCTCAAGCTATCCCCCCTGGGTAGAGTGCTGTGGCATCACAGCTCACAGCAACCTCCAACTTCTGGGCTCAAGGGAGTCTCCTGCCTCAGTCTCCCAAGTAGCTGGGACCACAGGCACCCACCACAACGCCTGGCTATTTTTTGGTTGCAGCCGTCATTGTTGTTTTGGCGGGTCTGGGCTGGATTTGAACCCACCACCTTAGGTGTATGTGGCTGGCGCCTTAGCCACTTGAGCCACAGGTGCCAAGCCTCATTTATGATATTAAACTGATTCTTTGAGGAACTGACCAATCTGATCATGTTCATTTTATTGTTCTTTAATTATAAAACTGTATACTCTCACTGTAAAAGGTCCCCAATATTATGAACTTATAAAAAGAAAAAAAAAGTTAAAGCCTTCCCTCTTATAATTTCTTTCTCCAGAGGAACCACATGGAACAGTTCACAGTATATTCCAAGTACTTGTTGTCAGATCTATTGGGCATTCTATATCTACCTTCTGAGGGCAAAGAAGACTATTTCTTTGTTTCTCTTGCTTGGTATAGGAAAGTGGTGATACAAAAATCTGTTTCTTTCATTGTAAACAGAATCTCACATTCCCCGTCAGGAGATCCCAACCACCCAGGTAGAACAAGAAAGAAAGCCATGGGATGCCAATGTCCAGAGTTGCAAGGAGGGTCTGAGTCTCAGAAGCCCAGCTCAAGGTAAGAAATGAAGATGAACAGCCTGCCCTAACTAGGAATGCTGTGTTTGACGGTTTAGGTGTAGGTTAACCCAGCACCACTGCCCCATCTCCATCTCAGAGAGGCAAGTGAGGAAGTCAGGGGACAACCTTTACGGAGGCACTCACTCTGCCAGCTCACTTGTCCCACCTTAGCCTTAGCCCTGTTCCATCCCACCTATTCTTAAAGGGTAAGGCTCTATTTGAAGGGAGAATTCCAAAACTGGTCTGAGCTCTGTTTCCTTGAGTAGTGGCCCTACCCTTTATCCAATGTATCTTTTTTTTGAGACAGATTCTCACTTTGTGACCCTTGGTAGAGTGCTACGGTATTATAGCTCACAGCAACCCCAAACTCTTGGGCTCAAGTGATCCTCTTTGCCTCAGTCTCCCACATAGCTGGGACTATAGGTATCTGCCACAGTCCCCGGCTATTTTTAGAAAGGGGGGTCTCATTCTTGCCCAGGCTGGTCTTGAACCCATGAGCTCAGGCAGTCCACCTGCCTTGGCCTCCCAGAGTACTAGGATTACAGGTGTGAGCCACTGTGCCCAGCCTTTATCCAATGTCTTGTTAGAGTAGCTTGTGTATAGGTAAAGGAAGGGACATTGGGGAAGAACTAGCCCTTCTGGCCTTTGACTTGATAGGCAGTAGCAGATGTGAGGTTTTCTTTTCTCCACTGCAGAAATAATATAGGGAATCTCTCTCTCTCTCCTCCCCCCGCTTCCCCTCTGTCTTCCTCTTCCTCCACCAGGGAAAGAGAAATTTGAGAACCTAGAAGAAAACAGTCAGTCTGTTTCTCCTGAGAATACCCACCCTCAGTCACTGCTCCCTCTCCAGGCTGGAGGGGAGGTGCCCTGGAGTCCTGATCAGGGAAGACCTCATGACAGGGCGGAAGGGAATTGGGAGCCTCCCCCAGAGGGTCACTTGGAGCAGCCTTTAATAGGAGCCACCAATTACAGGGAACTGGGGCGACCAAGGGAACTACAGCCAAAGAAACTCCATTTGTGTCCCTTGTGTGGCAAAAATTTCTCTAACAACTCGAATCTAATTAGGCACCAGAAAATACATGCAACAGAAAGACTGTATATGGGGGTAGAGTGTGGTGAAATCTTTGGTGGGAACCCACACTTTCTGTCATTACACAGAGCACACCTGGGAGAAGAGGCCCATAAGTGCCTCGAATGTGGAAAATGCTTTAGTCAGAATACTCATCTTACTCGTCACCAGCGGACCCACACAGGCGAGAAGCCCTATCAGTGTAACATATGTGGAAAAAGCTTCTCTTGCAACTCCAACCTCCATAGGCACCAGAGAACACATACAGGCGAGAAGCCCTACAAATGCCCTGAGTGTGGGGAAATCTTTGCTCACAGTTCCAACCTTCTTCGCCACCAGAGAATTCATACCGGAGAAAGACCCTATAAGTGTCCTGAGTGTGGGAAAAGTTTCTCTCGGAGTTCACACCTTGTCATTCATGAAAGAACTCATGAGAAAGAGAGACTTTACTCCTTCTCTGAATGTGGGGAAGCCATGAATGATAGTGCCCCCTTTTTTACAAACCACAGAGTCCACAAGACAGAGAAGAAAGTCTTTGAGTGTTTGACTTGTGGGAAAAGCTTTCGACAGGGCATGCACCTCACCAGACATCAGAGAACCCACACAGGAGAGAAACCATATAAATGTACCCTTTGTGGGGAAAACTTTTCTCATAGATCCAACTTAATCAGGCACCAGAGAATTCACACAGGAGAAAAACCCTATACCTGTCATGAGTGTGGAGACAGTTTCTCACACAGCTCCAATCGGATTCGTCACCTAAGAACCCACACAGGAGAGAGACCTTATAAATGTTCTGAATGTGGAGAAAGCTTCTCTCGGAGTTCACGTCTTATGAGTCATCAGAGAACTCACACCGGTTAGAAACAATGGGACTCCTCTTTGCCCCAAATAAGGTGGCATAATCAGAGGGTCAGAGCTGAGATTCCTTGCCCAGCTGACCAAATGACCTCTGCATTTGTCAGGTAATAATATAAAGAAGGAAATGGCAGTTCATTGTGAGAGAGGTGCAGAGGCATCAAAGGATTTGCATGAAACTAAACAAGCATTCTATCTGCACTAGTAAGGTCTTTGCAGTGACCTGCGAGGTCAGAATTGACTCTTAGGTCCATCCTGTCCTAAGGTGCACATGTACTCTCCAGGTATATTTAGCTAAGGTGTGATTTGGGTGCCTTACTATGTCCAATGTTAATCTCCACAACTTTGGGTATCCATGTGATCTTTCTGTTAATTCTTCCTCATTTGGGATACTCAGCAGGAGCATTTGGACTCCTGGGGCCCCTAAGACCAAAGAAGAGGGGCCAAGTCTCCTGGGAAATCCCACTGGAGGTCAACAAAAGAATGGTTTTGAGTTGCAGCTGTCTTGAAGGCCCTGGCTGGGTAGTAGTCATGGGCAGTTCAGATCCAGCTACCACATGCCCCTTAATGACCTGCAGGGCTGCCTGTTGGCAGCTCATGTGTCCAAATGTGACCTCAGACTAAAAAGGAACCAGAGACCTAAGGGAAATAATAAAGTGTAATTTGCCCATCAGCTCCTGATACTGGCAGAGGAAATGAGTGTTGATTTAGTTTACTCTTTGCAGAGATTGAGTCTTTCCCCTACTTGTGTCAAAAAAAAGATGAACAAGTTTGGAGTCCTACTCCTGACTCCAGGGGAACAAATGGGTTCTGTGAAAGATGGACTTCCCTGTGAAGGTCTTTGAAAACGTGGACCCTAGGGAAATTAGGGATCGTGTCCTTCCCTATTGGAAATGTGTTTAGATGGTTAATAAATATTTTCAGGAAATGTGAATGTGTGAATCTTCATTAAGGACCTTTGACCCCAGTGTTGATCTGTCTCATCTCTGCCTTGGTTAGAGGGCCTGCTTTCTCTTTGGCTGGTCAGGAAGGTTTTGAAAAGGTAGCAGCAGACAGGCTACAGCAGGGTGTGGCCTGGCAGGCTCCTGGCTGGGACTGCCACATGGAAACAAAGGGTCAAGCTGAATGGTTGCTTGGGGTGATACTGTAGGGTCTCTGAAAAGTATTCTCTGTTGCTAGCAAACTTCACATGTATAACTGTTCTCAGCCTGTCGTAATGAGACTAACACACAAAATAGTGCATGTAGGATAGCTGTCAGAACACCTGACGTTCTCCTATTCTTTCCTAGTAATTTCTAAGTGTCACACTTCCCTGCTTGGCCAAGACCTACTACCTAGACTCAAAGCCACTTTTACCTTATACCCATCACCCAAAACTGATGATACCTCTTAACTCCCTTCACTTTTGTTACTCTCCTCTAAGGCCCCTTCCCTGTCTATACAGATGTCCCTCCCAGATGCTTTATGTGAGGTCAATCCTAGAGTTTGGGATATCCCTACACCCTTGATCACTCTAAACCGTCAACCTGTTTATGGTTACCCTTTCCAATCCTTCACATCTCGCCAACTGACCTCAATATCCCCTTAAATTCCATGCTATAAAGGGGTATTAATTCAACCACTTATTAATCATTTACTAATAAACCACATTCTCTGACACACCTCCTCTCCATGCAACACTGCTATCCTAACAGTCTCCTAACCTGAGAGCTCCTTTAGACTAGTCCAAAATCTTCCGAGTAGTCAACAAGGCCACTGTTCATATAATTCCCCTGGTCCCAAACCCCTATGCCCCTCTTCACTATTCCTCCTTCCACCACACATTTTACAGTCCTAGATCTAAAAGACACCTTATTCACTATCCCTTTCCACCCTAACTCCCAAGACTTATACACCTTTACCTGGACTGACCCAGAAGCTCACCCCGGTTTTATGCCACAAGTTCTCAAAGCACCTTGCCTGGCATGTAGAAAGTACACTACCAAATGCAGACATACATTAATATTAGCAGAAAGATTTTGTTCTAAGCACCTAGTACTGAGGTCAATGTAAAGACTACACTGGTGAGAATATTGGGGCAGTCTCATATAGGATTGATAACTTCTACCCTTGTCATATTTCAAAGAGCAAGTATGACTGAGTCCTTTACTGAAGGCACCCATGAGGACACTGCAAGGGACGGGCAAATTAGAGCTTTTTACATTCTTTTACTTATTAGTCCTCTTGTAAAAGAAGCCAAAACAGTTCAACTGGCTTCTATGTCAAAGGGAGACTAACCCTGAGACAATAAAGACCTCTTGGCGCCTAAGTCCAAATGGGTACAAAGGAGACTTGAGAGGTATAAACTGACACTGAGCAATAGCCATACCTCATGTAGCACTCGGGACCAGCAGAAAGGTTTCTGGCCACATTTAAGCAATATGAAAAGGCCTGGCAGAGTCAAACTAAAAATAAAAACACTATGGAGGTTGGGGAACAATGAGAACAAAACCAGAGGTGAAAAAGACTACAAGGAGTATTTAAACACTGAATTGTTTTCTTTCTTTTTAGAAAAACCCATCAGAAGTTACTTTAAGGATTTTTACTGCAGTAATGAAAGAATTTATGGGCCTCGACATCATAATCTCAAATTTGAAGTTTCAGGCTCAGCACCTTTTTAAGAAGAGTTTACTGTATAATCATTACAATATCAACTGATAAAATTTTGGAAAGCAGCACCACCACTGCTTTAAGACTTAGAATTTTTATAAATGTTTCACAAATGCTTGAAATAACAATAACAAAGTCCACTAAAGGGTATCACTGTGAGTTACAAGAAAACCAACCAGCAAATTTTTTAGTACTAGACTTACTAACTTTTCTTTGGGTGTCAGAAGCTCAGGAATAACGAGATGAATTAAAGCAAAATGCATTTTTATTTATTTGAAGCATTTTCTTTTAGTCTTTACTATCCTTCAATCTAGCTTTCAAACACTTCAGTTAAAAACTGACTTCTAGATGGGTGTGGTGGCTCATACCTGTAATAACCAGCACTTTGAGAAGCTGAGGTAGAAGGTTTCTTGAGGTCAGGAGTTTGAGTTCAGCCTGGGCAACATAGTGAGACTCAGTCTCTACAAAAAATAGAAAGAAAAAACAATTAGCCAGGCAGAGTGGCCCAAGCTTGTCCCACCTACTGGAGAGGGTGAGGTGGGAGGATCCCTTGAGCCCAGGGGGTTGAGGCTGCAGTGAGCCTATGATCAGGTCTCTGTACTCCAGCCCGGATGACAGAGAACACTTCTCTTTAGGGAACCCCCCCAAAAAGCTGATTTCCATTCTTGAAAGGGAGATTGATACTTCTGATTATCTAATTTTTACTAAGTATAGCTAATATCTCCTGATTAGGAGAAAGGTAGGAGACAATGGGAAGGATCTAGGTAAATTCAACAGTGACAAAATGGTTGATGAAAAATGGTCAGACCATAAAAAAATTCTGATATTTTCCAATTAATGCGCTCAATTTGTCAGAGACACCTTGAATGTCTCAAAAGATTCAGTCAGAAATCTAGTGGGTCACAAACATCCAAACTTGCTCCAAGGAGAGAGTAATAGTTCTCCAGGCAAAAAGGTCTGGGAAAGAAAAATGCTAAAAGTATCTATCTGAAATCCAGGGGTGGGGTTTTGGACCTAAGGAGGAATTGTTTGCCCTCCATCCTCACATCTCCTCGGCAGGAAAACTCCTCTGAATGCAGGTGTCAGTACCTCACTTACAAGATGAAGCTGCCCTTGAAGGTGTCCCTTCACCCCACCTGCCGGGCCTTCCAGGAGGGAGTCCATCTTAAGTTTGGGGATCTTGCCCCAGCAGCCTGAACGACAGTGAGTTGCCTGGGTTCTTGGAGAAGTTCGAATCCTCAGAAGTGATTCCAGACCATTCCTCTCCCCGTCTTCCTAAACGCATCTGTGGTCCCCTTGCAGCCCAGCCTTCCATTCCCCTTTGGCTCAAACACCCAAGGAGGAGGGCTGGTCCCCGGGGCTGCAGAGGCCATACAGCCCTCCTCTCCCTTCTCTGGCCTGCCAGGCACTGTAAAGTCATAGCAAGCAGTACTCCCTGCAGGGCCAGACCCACAGCCACAGGGGCTGCTCGCCCCGCCCCTGAGGGGAGAGCAAGTGACGCATCTGCCTTTGCTGTATGCTGTACAGTCACAGGCCCAGAGCCGATGAGGGGTCAAGTGGGTGGAGCGGATACCCTCAAAAGGCAGGTCTATTCTTAAAAGCAGAGGGAGGCCTACGCAGGTTCTTAAGTAGGCGAGGGTCCTCTTTTAGTTCCCTCACCCTGGTACAGGGTGGAAAAGGGATTAGGAGACAAGGACAGGGAGATCAAAAGGTGTAGTTGAGATGCATGATGAAGCCTGGACCAGGAAGTGGGCAGTGAAGGGGGACAGTCGGGAAGACACAAGGGTAGAGGTAAATCCTTTTGGACGTTATGTGGGCCCAGACCAGTCTAAAATCGGAGGACATCCACTAAGGTGACTGAAATTCTGGCCGACTTGTCTTTCCTGTTCTTCTGTACCAGAACCCCAAAGGCAACCATCCTGGGACCTTGCAGTTTCCCCAGGGATATGCAGGCACACACTGCAGAGACTGTGTGTGCTAATGATACCAGAAAAAAAAAAATTTTTTTTTAAGAGATAAAGTCTCACTTTGTCACGATAGAGTGCTGTGGCATCATGGCTCACAGCAACCCCCAGCTCTTGGGCTTAGGTGATTCTCAACCTCCCGCGTAGCTGGGACTATAGGTGCTTGTCACAACGCCCAGCTGTGTGTGTGTGTGTGTGGTTTTTGGCTGGGGCTGGGTTTGAACCCACCACCTCCAGCATATGGGGCCAGCACCCTACTCCTTGAGCCACAGGCACCACCCCCGCTCGGCTATTTTTTGTTGCAGTTTGACCGGGGCGGGTTTCCTCAGTATGTGGGGCTGGCACCCTACTCACTGAGACACAGGCGCCGCCCATGGTCCCGGAAATTTAAAGCCTACCTCAAACATCACACATAATCCTCTCAGATACTTCTCTTGCTACCCTGGGAAAGTCCTGTCTATACTCTAGCTTGGCCCTAACGTATCCAGTGGTGGTTTGTTGCTATAGTTATTCAGGTCATAATCTGCAACACCTCCATTATTGTCCAGTACAGGGAAGAGTAATAGGAAATTTCCAGAAACAATCAGAACTTTTGAAAATGGTGTGACTCTTGGTCATTCATTCTGGGAATCTATCACCATTTATAAAAGAATAAAGAAGGCTGGGTGCAGTACGTTACGCCTGTAATCCTAATACTCTGGGAAGCTGAGGCAGGTGGATTGCTTGAGCTCACCAGCTCGAGACTAGCCTGGCAAGAGTGAGACCCTTTCTCTACTAAAAATGAAAAACACGAAGATCACTTGAGCCCAAGAGTTTGAGGTTGCTGTGAACTACGATGCTGGGGCACTCTACCAAGGGTGACAGAGTGAGACTCTGTCTCAAAAATAAATACAGGCTCCACACCTGTAGCTCAATGAGGAGGGTGCCAGCCACATACACCGAGGCTGGCAGGTTCGAACCTGGCTCAGGCCTGCTAAACAACAATGACAGCTGCAACCAAAAAATAGCCAGGTGTTGTGGCATGCGCCCTGGAGTCCCAGCTACTCAGGAGGCTGAGGCAAGAGAACTGCTTAAGCCAGAGTTGCAGCCTACTGTGAGCTGTGACACCACAGCACTCTACCTAGAGTAACATAGTGAGACTCTGCCTCAAAAAAAAAAGAGGTTTAATGTAAAGATCCAAACTAAAAGGAACTAGACAGCTGTCCGCTGTCCTCACCTCATATTCCCATCAACTTCTTCCAGGATCCATTCTGCCCCAGGCTGGAAAGGTCTCTCTTAAAGGAGTCCAAACAGCAAGCTAGGGATAATTACAATTGTATTATTCTGTTCTCACTCCCAG